TTTAAACTAACAAGGCAAAGAAAAGAATTCAGATATTTCTGACTTCAAAAGAGATCAATCAGCAATAAGCTAATTTTTAATTTATTTTTATTTTTTAAAAAGATTTTATTTATTTGACAGAGAGAGACCCAGTGAGAGAGGGAACACAAGCAGGGGGAGTGGGAGAGGGAGAAGCAGGCTTCCCGCCGAGCATGGAGCCGGATGTGGGCCTTGATCCGAGGATCCCGGGATCGTGACCTGAGCTGAAGGCAGAGGCTTAATGACTGAGACCCCCAAGTGCTTCATAAGCTAATTTTTAAAACCCAACATCAAAACAAACAAATCAAAAAGCACCCAGCAAGCATCTTACAAACGCTTAAGCAGTATTTTTTAGCTTGAGGTCTTAGTGTTGACCTATACCTGATAAAACTCTTCCTTTAACTTGACAAGAGTTATGCTTTCCTTCTTTCAGCACCGAAATGAAAGGCAGACATCCCAGATTTATTCACTGCTCACTGGGAAAGCTACAGAGTGTTAGGCCTTATAAAAATACAAACAAAAGAAATGCATATCCAAGGGAGACAGAAACATATCCAAGGGAGACAGACTCCATGCAAGTGTGAAGCCCAATGTGGGGTTCGATCCCACAACCCTGAGATCTTGACCTGCGCCAAAACCAAGAGTTGAATGTTCAACCAACTGCACCACTCAGGTGCCCTTCAGTCAACCATTTTTTGCCAGGCACGTACTTACTACATGCCAGTCACTGTTAATATTGTGATGTAAGAATTTGGCTCAAAGCAGAAGGTGCTCAGGGTGTGTTGGTTGGGTTGTCTCAAGCTGAAAACCATCTTAAATGCTATCTCAGCATTTCTCACTTCAGTTCCTCAATTTATTCAAAGATACTGAGTTAGTCAATTTTGATCAAAGCAATACCATCAAAATATGTGTCTAAGAGATCTTCTAAAATATAACATGCAATGGAAGAAAAGCATGACTACCAGAATCAGAGAAATCTGGATTCAAATCCTACCCCTGCAACATAATAGCTATTTGGACTTTAAGCAAGTTATTGAACCCTTCTGAGCTTCCACAAATTTTCTCTCCTCTGTACTATGATAATCCCAGCAACCCAGTTTTTCCCTCTTCAACTTATTCTGTACCCACCCTACAAGATAAAACAGGCCAGCTTTTAACACAGTAGTGACAATGGTATCATCACATCTTCAACAAATTAAAGTTCAAGTACTTAGCATGTGAAATTTTTAAAATAAAGTATTCAAACCATAAAGGCAGAAAAAAATGAAAGAATAATCACAAATTATTAAGGTTTATATCTCCACCTTATTCTTAATTTCTTATCATTTTATTTGAGGTATTTATTCCAAAAAAATTTTGAATTGTTATATGGGATTTTTTTCCTTTGTTAAAATCTGAGATAATCAATTAAAAAAAAACTACTATAATGGATTTTCAATCTTTGGAGTCAACTAGCCCAAACCTGTTACTTTATAAAATGAAGGCAAAGCATAGAATAAGATGTAGGATATGGGGCACCTGGGTGGCACTATTGTTAAGCATCCAGCTCTTGGTTTCCGATCAAGTTGTGATCTGCGATTGGCCCCACATCAGGCTCCATGCTCAGTGTGGATTTTGCTTAAGACTCTGTCTCCCAGGGTGCCTGGGTAGCTTAGTAGGTTAAGCGTCTGACTTCAGCTCTGGTCATGATCTCAGGGGTCCTGGGACTGAGTCCCCTCACCACAACAGGTCATCACTCAGCAGGGAGTCTGCTTGTCTTTCCCTCTCCCTCTGTCCCTCCCCCTGCTTGTGCTTTCTCTGTTTCAAATAAATCAATCTTAAAAGAAAAGAAGAATATGGAGGATAAATAAAAACTACATTTTAAAAGACTTTTCATGACACAGGAAATCTTCAATATAGAATGCTGAATAAGAAAAAAGGATTACCGCAATGTACATACAATATGAGCCAAAACAGTAAAAGCAAGCATAAAAGAACAGGATTTTGCTTCTTCTCTTTATACTATTCTCAATTTCATAAATTTTCCATAATAAACATATTTTATAATTTAAAATATTCAAAATATTCTATGTTTTAAATGGGATATCTAACTCATAAAATGTTAAGAAAACAGAAATATGTAGGCACTGAGGGGTATAGTGACTTGCTCACAATCTCACAGCTAAATGGAAACAAAGCCAAGACAACCCAGGCATCAAATCCAAGGCTCCTCTCACTGTACCACATGACCTCCAAGACATGAAAATAGTTAAATGTTCACCGGGAATTGCACAGGAAGAACTGGTGAAGAGCTGGAAGCCTGGAACTTTTAAATTTTGTTAGCAATAAATACCTTTTTTGCCTTAAGTTTAAAAAAAAAAAGAGTATTCAACATCAATTTCTTTTACCACTACGGTTTTTGTCTCATCAAATCTACTCATGATGACCTTAAATAGTGCTACAGATTACATTTTATAATACTATTACCAGATAAGAACACAGAGATAAAGCTGAGAACTGACAGCTCACGATAATCTCCCAGCCTCAAGAGAACAAGGACATCTATTTTGCCACATCTGTCTTTCGAACCCTACACCACACAGTACAATCCCTGGCATACAGTAGGTGATCAATAAATGTTTACTTTATAAAATGTAACTTTTTCCCCCCTCACATTAGCACTAACTACCAGACTTTTAAATATTAGAACAAAAAAAAAACTAGTGACAGTATAATTTCATACTGGGGGTAAGTGTTTACAAGAGAAACAAAGAATTTATCAAACAAATTAATGTTTATAACCAAAGGTAAGGGGAACATTTAGGTTAGTAAAATATTTCAAGCACTATACAAATTAACGGGCATGTTAATTACAGTAATTCTTATCTACCGAAATGGGCCTAACATTTAGCCAGCATTACTTTTTCTGCCTAGCTGGGAGTCTCTGAATGGACTACAAAGCAATAAAGTTACAAAGGTAGCACAAGGGGTACTGGACTAGGACCCAGACCTTAGTCCAAACTCTTCTAATAATTAGATATATAATCTTGGGCAAGTTACTTTTTCAACTCTTTTGAATCCCAGTTAACCTATTCATAAAAAGAAAAGAGTTGAAGTACTAATCACCAGAGACCCTTCCAATCTCGATTTTTTAAAAAATGATTCTTATCCACAAAGATTCCACATTCAGATTTTTTCACTGCATTAAACTGGGTATCTTGAATGTTATAGTTTGCTATATTACTCGATAAGGAAAAGTCAGCATATTTGTTAAGAATATATAAAGATTAGTAGTAACATATATTCTTTTTACCATCTTATATTAGGGACAAAAAGAGAACACAAGAAATGTGAGCATCTGATAATCAGGCCTGTTCTGCCAGGTAGGCTGACAGGAACCATACCGGATTTTACAATATAGACCACAGATACATAAATGCATATACGTCTTTACATAGCACAGATAAATACTTATGTTGATATAATAGAGGTGTGTGAATTTTAAAAATTGTTTCTAGTTGAAAAATCAATACTTATGTTAAGAAATTCCAAACAGGGGCGCCTGGGTGGCTCAGTGGGTTAAAGCCTCTGCCTTCATTCAGCTCAGCAGGAAGCCTGCTTCCCTTCCTCTCTCTCTGCCTGCCTCTCTGCCTACTTGTGATCTGTCAAATAAATAAATAAAATCCTAAAAAAAAAAGAAATTCCAACAGCACATTAGGCCACATGTAAAGTTCAAATTAAAAAACGTCCCACCCCTCTCCATCCCTCCATTAAGTAGCCACCGTCCACATTTTTCTTGTGTATACTTCAAGAAATTATCTAAGCATATTCAAATATGCATACGTGCATGTGTGTATAAATCTTAACCTACTGTTGCCACTTCTTGAATGATGGGGAAAATATCTCAAGCACTGGCTTCATAAACACGTTAAATACATCGAAAGTTGTAGCACAGCTGTATGGTACGAAGTGGTACATGCTTCCGAAGTGTGCGGTGAGTTGAATGTTTAATTTTCTTGCTTGGAGGCATGTGCAGCAGTTGCTCCGAAAAAGCGGTGAGCAAGGAGCCAGACAAGCTGGGTTCTAATCTTAGTAGAGCTCGCCTCAGGCAAGCCATGAAATCTTCCCGTACCTCAGTTTCCGCTTTTGTAAAATTAAGACGATTCGACTAAGATCCCTTCCAACTCTAAAATGTTATATATAGTTCTAAGATGGCCGTCTGTAACTGTGTTCTCTTGAACTGGTCTTAAGAAATCCGAAGTAAAAAAAAGAGAAGAAAGAAACACCATAGCAACCTCCAGTCTTACAAGAGTACATTTCTATGCGTCACTATCAAGGTATAGTGTGACAAACCTAGGGACATAATTATACTCGAAAGCAAAGTAGTAGATTATTAAAATCGGATAGGTTTTCACAAAGCTTTGATTGACATTTTTCTTTTTTTGGAGGTGGAGGGGGCTGTTGCTGAAACGCTTAGTTTCAGCAATAACCAACACCCTCCTCCCAAAAACAAGTGTATTATGGAGTTAAAATAATGAAACTGAAAGTTAGACTGAATTTTGTTTTACTCACAGAATATGCTCGGGAGGTGACTAGGGCAGCAAAGATCGGAAAGAATTACTAGCTAATTTCCTCTTCCGGAAGCTCTTTGGCTCCTATTCTTTCTGCTTCACAAGCCCTTGCCAGGCACACTCCACCCAGCTCAATACCTGCCACACGCATCAGATGGGGGGGGGGGAACGGGGCGGTCCCTTTGATCATTTAAAAAAAAAAAGTTCTTTGACTCGATTTACCTTAGGGGTCACAGGGTTTAAGACGGCACCCGGCCGCCTGAAGCCACCCACCCACCCACGCCTTCCTTCGGCGCTCCCAGGAACCTGGGCAAGGAGCCGCTGCTGGGCCACCCGCGCCGCACACGGGCGGCCTTCCCGCCCTCCCCCGCAGCGCGGGGCCCGCGGGGAGGGGGGGTTGAGGAGGAGGAAGCCCGTACAGGCAGTACCCACCGCGCTAGGAGAGCCAGCCCGGATCGCCCGCGGCGCCCTGCGCGGTCCGGAGGGGAGGGTCCTGGAGGAGGGGCGGCCCGAGCCCCAATCTGGAAATGCCAACTCCGCTCTGCGGCCGGGCCCCAGCCTAGAAGGAAACGGAAGTCCCTTCGTCTCCCGCAGGCGCACCCACCAGCCCGCCCATCGCCCGGAGGAACCCCGAGTCCAAGGCAGGGCCTCAAACAGACACCGGCCACTGTCGTTCAATCTCACGGCCCTGGCCTCGCCAGGGGTACCTCCCCTACCCCCGCAGCCTCCTTTTTACCGCCCCCACCCGGGGGATAGCCTCCCGCCCTGCAAGGCCCCTCCTTCTTCCCCTCCGCCATTTTCGAACTTACCCTTCGGGCCCTGGCGTCCTTGAGTAGTGCTGAGCCCTCCCAGGGCGCAGCCAAGGTCCCGCCACTTCCCTGGGCCGGAAGGGGGCAGCCAGGACAATCGAAGCCCTCGTCCCCCCCCCCCCACCCCCCCCCCCCCCAGCTGGAAGCCAGAGCCTGACCTGGGGGAGGCGCCTGCGCAGTGTGTACTTCGCAGTCCCCGCCCCCCGGCTCAAGCGTTTCCTCTTTACCCTTGAGGTGTTTTTTCCCACGGCTTTTACCTGCTGGACTCTGGTGTTGACCAGTTGGGGACTAGAGATAAAATTACGGATGAAAAGAGCGAACAAGTTGCGTTCTTACTGTAGACCAGGCAATGTGGTAGGCATATAACGTGTTCTTTGTTGTAATTTTGACAACTCTGTAAGATAGGCACTCTTATTAATCCCATTTTACAGAGGAAATTGAGGCATAGAGAGGAGAAGCCCCTCCACTAGCATGCAGCTAATAAATGAGGGAACTGAGATTAAGAATATAGCCTGTGGCCTAGTTGGGAAGGATAAAAGGAAAGAGACATTCATTTGGGACAGCAAGGGGATTGAGAGATAAAGAAAGGGAAAATGAGTAGGAAGAAAGCAGAAGGCAGGGAAAACTGGAAATCTGGTACATAAAATGCTGAGCATATCCTGGATTTATTTCAGGTATGCTGTAAGATTGTCAAAAAGACAAATGAATTTTCTTTCACCAACTTGGGAGCTCCCTTATATGCCAGCGTAGTGACATGAGAGGTTCTGAATGAGTGTTTCATTTAAAGAGGAAGATTATAAATATCACCTCCATCCTCAAATGATGTTGCTCTTCTTGAAAAGGGAACTTGGAGGGAGGAGAGAAAAGACTTCTTTTTGATTGTTAGGCTTTTGCTAAATATTACCCTCTCCGATCCTCCTTTACTGTCCTAGCTCTGAGAATCTCACATCTGACTTACTGTGGTAATACTAATTGCAAGCAAATCCTTATCTCATTTAATTCTCAGAGCAATCTTATGAAATATGTAACTACCATCATTTCCATTTTACAGAGGAAGACACTGAGGTTAAGAGAATTTAGGTGGCTTGCCCAAAGTCACACTGTGAGTAGGTGTGGGAGCTGGAACACTGATTCAAACATAGATCTTCTGATTACAGGTGTGTCTGACCACTACCCAGTCTCCTGGACTGGCCTCTCTATCCCTAGGACTGGTCCCCAGCAGTACAGCCTGTACAAGGCCATGTAAGTTAAACCCTTCAACACTACTTCCCAGATAATGTTAAAACACCTTAGCTCTATGTTCACTCTCCCCTGGATACCTACTGTCAACTGAAAGACAACCATCCTCAAACTAGGTTAGCAAGTGCTTTATTCATTGTCTTACTGGGGGCTATAGCCTGGGAAAACAGTCTTTCAGATGGCTCTGAAGAACTGCTCCAAAGCTCATTAGCTACCGGGGATTATATATACAAAAGGGGAAAAGGGTATGCCTGCTTGCAAGCAGCTGTCCAAATACTTGCACATCAAAAGGTATAATTTGTTACGGTTGTAAAAATTAAGGCTTAAAAGAAATTAAGCTTTACTGATTTCCACACAGACACAAGAAAGACCCTTAGGTCATCTTAATACTTTATGTTTCTATCATATCTGATTATTTAAAAATATTGCTTGCATGTCTCTGCTTAATTGGTTTTCCAGTTCTTTCTGTTTTTGATTCTTCCTTGAGGTCACTTGAGACGGTCACAGAACGCTGTCATCAGTCATCGACTGTAGTTTCATTGCACACTATCCTCTAACAAAATAGAGCTATGAACTGTGCCCCTGCCCACCCCCAGCTTTTCTGCCTTCCATTCATTTACTGAAATGGCTCAAGGGTAGAAAGACTGCCCTTAGTCAAAGCCTCTGATTTCTTTAGCTGAGGGTCTTCTCTTCTTCCTATTCTGAACTCTCTTGGCACTTGAATTTTTGTTTTTGGTTTTGTTAGCACCTTTTCAAAGTTGTAATTAAATGTGTATAACATGGGGGCGTCTGGTTGGCTCAGTCAGTGGAGCATGTGACCTTTGATCTTGGGTTGTGAATTCCAGCCCCATGTTGGGCATAGAGATCACTTAAGAAAAAGTATATAACGTAAAATTTACCATTTTAACCATTATTAAGTATACATATCAGTGGCATTGAGTACCTTGAGAAATTTTTATCTCACTTGGCACTTGAATTTGTGCCCTTGTTGTGGAACACAGTGCTTTCTGTGATGTAATATACCTATTTGTGTACATGTCTTATCTCACCTATACCTGAAGTTCATTTATGGTAAGATCTATGTCTAACTCATTTTTGTAATTCCTCCAAAACTCTTGGAGTCATCTTTAATCCAATCCCCACCTCTTCTATCTCACATCCAATTCACCAGCAAATCCTATCCATCTCAATTTTCAAAATATATGCAGAATCCCACCAATTCACATTGACACCATTATGACCCTGGTCTGTCTGTCTCTTGCACTTTAGCTTCCTCGCTCGTCTTGCAGCTTACATCCTTGCTCCTCTCCAGTCTATTCACACAGCAGCCAAAGCTGTGCTAGTAAGTCAGCTCATTGTCATTTTCATTTATCTGCTCAAAGCCCTCAGTGGCTCTCCACTTTACTCAGGGTAAAAGCCACAGATGTATAATGGCCTACAAAGACGATTGAAGCCAGCCACCAAGATGATCTCTACTGATCTTTAACTCTTGCTCTTCATGCCCTTGGCTAGTTGTCTTCTACAGAGAAGTAGGGCTGACCTGTGTAAACTAATAGAATACTGTGGAAGTGATGGCATATGATTTAAAAGCCTAGGTCATGGGGTGCCTGGGTGGCTCAGTGGGTTAAAGCCTCTGCCTTCGGCTCAGGTCATGATCTCAGGGTCCTGGGATCGAGCCCTGCATCGGGCTGTCTGCTCAGCAGGGAGCCTGCTTCCTCCTCTCTCTCTCTGCCTGCCTCTCCGCCTTCTTGTGATATCTCTCTCTATCAAATGAATAAATAAAATCTTAAAAAAAAAAGCCTAGGTCATAAAAAGCATTGTGGTCTCTGCCTCACTCTGTCTTGGATTGGTTGCTCTGTGGGAAGCCAGCTGTTATATCATAAGGATTCTCAAACAGCATGTAGAGAGGCCCACATGGGAAAAACCTGAGTCCTCCCCTTCTTCACATCTACTCCTCCCCCACCACCAACAGACACCAACTTGTCAACCACATGAGTGAGCCACCTTGGAAGAGGATTCTTGAGGCCCAGACTTCTGATGACTGCAACTTCTTGAAACCCAAAGCCAAAACCACCAGCCAAACCACTCTTAATTCCTGTGTATTGCTGTTTTAAATAGCTAAATTTTACTTGTTTTTATTTTTTCCATAATCTCCATGCCTACCGTGGCCCAAACTCATGACCTCGAGATCAAGAGTCCCGTGTTCCACTGACTAAGCCAGCCAGGTACCCCTTAAATAGCTAAATTTTAGGCAATTTGTTACTCAACAATAAATTACTAATACAAAGGCTCTACACAGTCAGGGTCCTTTGTCCCTTTATGTCTTCATCTCCTAGTCTTTCCCCTATTCCTTTAGCTTTCCTGTCTCAGGGCCTTGGCACTTGCTATTCACTCTGCATGGAACACTTCCACCAGATTTTTCCATGGCTTGTCCTTCAAGTCTTTGCTTAATTGTCACCCTCTCAAAAAAGAAAATTATCGCCTTCTCAATAAGGCCTACCATGACCACCATATCTAAAATTACAACTTCTCTCAAAAAAGAAAATTATCTCCTTCTCAATAAGGCCTACCATGACCACCATATCTAAAATTACAACTTCTCTCATAGTGTTCTCAATCTCTCCTGCTCTACTTTTTTCCCCCCATGGCATCTATCACTTTGGAATGTACTGTATGGTTATTTTTTTTAAATATTTTATTTATCTATTTGAGAGAGAGAAAGAAAATGAGTGGTGGGGAGGGGCAGAGGGAGAGGGAGAAGCAGACTTCCTGCTGAACAGGGAGCCCTAAGTGGGGCCCTGTCCTAGGACCTGGAGATCATGAACCTGAGCTGAAGGCAGACATTTAACTGACAGAGCCACCCAGGCACTCCAATTATTTTCTTTATTGTGTTTATTTGTTGTATGTCTCCTACCAACCCCTACTAGACTGTAAGCTCCAAGAGGACAGGAATTTTTCTTTTGTTCACTGATCTAGCCCAAGTACTTAGAATAGTGTCTGGCACAGTGTAGCTACTCAGAAGTTATTTATTGAATGAGTGACTAAAAACTTCATAAACACGCCAGACCCTCGGAAAATATTTGTTAGGTGATTTGTCATTTGGGAGATGTGAACAGCAAAGGCAGACATAGCTGAGGTATGGTTTAGGTTTTATATGAAGGGACACAGGAGGTGTGAAGTTAGAAAAATACAATCTTTGGAGAGGTTACTCTTGTCTGTACAAGGATGTTTTGTTGTCATTGTTTTTGGTCGAGGAGAAGGAATATTTAGAGAGGAAAAGTACAAAGGTATATTAGCTTGGACCATCTGAATTGCCAATGTCAGACCATTGCCAAATACTCCAAGCAGCAGTTTAATGGCAAAAGGGAAATAGACAGTGTAAAGATGCAGCAGAAATGAGAAAGAGATAGAATCAAGAATGAGTAGTAGCATTAACCTTGAATGGGAAAAAGGATACATCCTTAGAGGCTAAAAGTGATGAGATGTAGGTAAGTAGAGAAGAATCTAGAGGGTGATCATCACACCTCAATGGCAGCTAGATTCTGTGGAAAATAACATATGTAGTTATCTGCTGGAAAGAACAGCCAAAGTTTAGCACTATAACGCTTTCTGGAAATGCAGTTTAAGTGAAAGTCCAAGTAAATAGAGAGCAAAATTGTTTACAGTGAAGGAAGGTGGGGTGAGCCCTGACTTCCAGGAATTGCCCTCAGAGCTATGTACCTTCTGGCAGGAAGGAGTACACACCTGCATAGGATTACTCTTTTTTTAAAAAAAGATTTTATTTATTTATTGGAGAGAGAGACAGTGAGAGAGAGCATGAGCGAGGAGAAGGTCAGAGGGAGAAGCAAACTCCCCGTGGAGCTGGGAGCCCGATGCGGGACTCAATCCTGAGACTCCTGGATCATGACCTGAGCCGAAGGCAGTCGTCCAACCAACTGAGCCGCCCAGGCATCCTACAGGATTACTCTTGACTCATCACCAGAGAATAGCCTCCGTGAAGGTCATTCATGCTGAACAGTATCTATCAGCAGCACTGCCCCTCAGTCTCCTGACTTTTGCTCAGGTATCTTGATTGCTAACCTCTCCCTCCCTCCTTGCTGCCAGAAAGATGGCTACTGTAATTTCCTCTCTTTGAGCAGTCACAAAGATGCCTGCCCTTATCTCGTGCCCACAAAACTAGCATCTCCAGCCAGCCCTCTCTTTTTTTCTTTGCTTTTATCCTCCAGGACTCAGTCATACAGAAGAGACTTTTTGCTTGTTTGGAGTAGGGACTGAAGAGCTCACTCTCAACTTAAGCTAATGGAAAATTCTGCCCAGGTTTCTAATCTATTCCTATGGTTATACACAATGTTTTTAGTCTGCAAAAGTCCAACAACAGTGTCAAGGTCAGGATATTGTCATGGTGTGTCTGGAGTAGGGTGGAGGTGATAGTTACAGGAGTTGAGGTCCAGGGGAGGCGCTAGCATGTTGGAGGTGTCATCACCCAGGATGATAGTGGGATTTGTGTTTAGGGAGGAAGACTGAACCAAAGGCCGCAGATGTCAATAGATGTGAGGGAGTGTTCTGAATATAGATAGATACTAATTGTTAGCACTTACTGAGAGTTTACCATATGCTAGGCACTGTCCTAAGTCTCTCATAATCCTCTCAGTAATCCTATAAGTTAACTCTTCTTTTTATTCTCATCTTGACTCGGAACCTAAAATGGTGCCTGCCATATGGTAGGTACTCAAGCCAGATCAGGTCACTCCTCTGCCTAAACCCCTGCGATGTCATCTCACTTGGTAGAGGCAAGCACAGAGTGCTGTGGGAATCTAGAGAGCTCTAGAAGCGTGGGAGGGAGGAGAAGAGTGAATCAGAGCTGGCTCTACACGGACTTCAGTCTTGAAGGACAACCAAGATTTAGCTAGCTGAGGAGGTGGGAGAAGGGCATTCTAAGACAGTCAGCAGACGTGCTTACTCATGGAGGAGGAACAAAACAACATGTAGCTGGAGAGTGGCAA